TTTGTTACTCCACCCTAAAATAATAGAATTGACTGACACTAGCAAAATTAGGTGAAGGAAGTGCAGGGTGCTGTAGGAATATATAGCAGAGTTGCCAAAGGATCAGGGCAGACCTTCTAAGAGAACAATGAATATGCTGCAACATAAAAGGTGAAGGGTAGACTAGAATGTACAGAGAGAGTTAGAGACACTCAAGAAAATGAAAAGTTCCAGGGGCGCTTGGGTGTACCCTCCTTTGCTCACACTCTCTCTCTCTGTCTCAAAAATAAATAAACTATAAAAAAAAAGAAAAAATTTCCGTATGAATGGAATTTAAAATGTAAGAAGGAAGATATAAGGTTCAAGAGCTAGGGGCCAGATCATCAGAAATAGTATGTCATAGGGGTGCCTGGGTGGCTAAGTAGGTTAAATGTTCAACTCTTTTTTTTTTTTTAATGTTTTATTTATTTCTGAGAGAGCGACAGAGAGAGAGAGAGAGAGAGAGAGCAGGGGAGGGTCAGAGAGAGAGGGAGATGCAGAATCGGAAACAGGCTCCAGGCCCTGAGTTGGCTGTCAGCACAGAGCCTGATGCGGGGCTCGAACCCAGGAACCGTGAGATCATGACCTGAGCCGAAGTCGGCGCTTAACCGACTGAGCCACCCAGGCTCCCTTAAATGCTAAATGTTCAACTCTTGATTTCTGCTCGGGTGGGTCATGATCTTTCGGTTCAGGACCTCAAGCCTTGCGTCAGCCTCCGGAGCCTGCTTCAGATTGTCTTCCTCTCTCTCTGCCTCTCCCCCACTAACAATCTCTCTTTCTCTCTCTCTCAAAAATAAACAATAAATAAAAAATAAAAATAAGGGGTGCCTGGGTGGCGTAATTGGTTGAGCATCTGACTTTGGCTCAGGTCGTGATCTCACGGTTTGTGAGTTTCAGTACTGCATCAGGCTCTGAGCTCTGTTAGCACAGAGCGTGGAGCCTGCTTTGGATTCTGTGTCTCCCTCTCTCTCTGCTCCTCCCCACCTCACTCTCTGTCTCTCTCTCCTTCAAAAATAAATAAACATTAAAAATATAAAAATAAAAATAATTTTTAAAAAGAAACAATATTAAGGAACTTGAATTTTATACCTTTGGTTTCTCCCCTCCCCCCCCCCGCCCCGAATCCTCATTCTTTCTTTCCTCCACTAGCAGGCTGAACTTCCTTACATCTTTGCTTTTATACTATACTTGAGCAGTAACTGATATGTTGGAAAAAACATACAATTTTGCCAATTGCTACCACTGCGAGTTTACATTTTTCTAATCTCAACTAGGCTCTCAGTACCATTTGACAATTCTCTCATTTCTTCTTGGTCAGATCCATTTTCCCAGTTCTTTTTTTTAACAGCTTTATTGATATAATTTACATACTATAAAGTTCACCCATTTAAAGAGTATAATTTATTGTTTTTTAATATTTTCACAGAGTGTGTAACCATTGTCATAATGTAATTTTAAAACATTCTCATCATGTCACAAAGAAACCTTATACCCTAGTCCAAGGCAATTGTAGCATCCTGCATGGTGTATTCCTCCTTTGCCCCTCTACAGTCTGTTCTTTTTTTTTTTTAATGCTGTATTTATTTTTGAGAGAGAGACAGAGCATGAGTTGGGGAGGGGCAGAGATAAAGGAGACATAGAATCCGAAGCAGGCTCCAGGCTCTGAGCTGTCAGCATAGTGCCAGATGAGGGGCTCGAACCCACAAGCCCTGAGATCATGACCTGTGCCGAGTCAGGACACCTAACAGACTAAGCCACCCAGGAGCCCCTACAGTCTATTCTTTATATAGAAGCTGAAATGATCTGTTCAAAACCTACCCAGGATTATAACAAGTCATCTGGTCTCCTTCCTGCTCTGATTTCATCTGCCCCATTTCCCCCTGGCTTGCTGTTTCTTGAATATACTACACATGCTCCCACTCAGGCCCTTTGTCCTCTGCTCAGTATCTGTTTCCCCCAGATGTCCCTATGACTAACCTCTTTGCAAGTGATTCTGATGATTAGTCAAATGTAGGAACCATCCTATAATAGAAAATTGGCAGGGACTTTTGGTTTTTAAATATTTGAACTTCCAGACACTTTGGAGTCTAACTGATTATTTACCATGTACTAGGCACAACTGCTAAACACTGAATGCATTATATCAGTTTTTTTTTTAAATTTTTTTAAAATGTTCTATTTATGTCTAGGAGAGAGAGAGAGAGAGAGACAGCGTGAGCAGGGTAGGGGCAGAGAGAGAGAGAGACACAGAATCTGAAACAGGCTCCAAACTCTGAGCTGTCAGCACAGAGCCCGACATGGGGCTCGAACCCACAAACCGCGAGATCATGACCTAAGCAAAAGTCGGACACTTAACCGACTAAGCCACCCAGGCGCCCCTGCATTATATCAGTTTAATTCCCACAACAACTCAATATGGTAAGTACTATTCCTATACCCAATTCACAGCTGAGACACTGAGACATAAATAGGTTAAGTGACTTCTCCAACAGTCATACAGTAATCAACTGCTGCAATGCTGCATTTGAACCCAACTCTAACTTCAAAGCCTAAGCTCATAATCGTTTGGTTTTGAAGCAAAATTCAAATAAATTTCATAAATATCCTTCATCCTCAATTGTGAATATTGCAAAATATTGCAAATGGAAAGAGAACCTCAGAACTTTAAGTGCCCGGCGTCTTTTAGTTTCCCTCTAAGAAATGCATGTCATTGGTTTCTCATCCTTAGCATTACTGGTGGTTTGGGCTAAATAATGCTTTCTTTGGGGGGTGGGAGGCCTGTACTGTACACCGTAGGCCCTTGACTAGCATTCCTGGCCTCTGTCTACTAGGTGCCAGCAGCAGTAGCGTTCTCGGTTGTGACAACTAGAAATACTCCAGACACTGTCAAACGTCCTCTGGTAGAGAACTGCTGTTTTCAACAATTATACTTCATTTCCCTGTCACTTAGGTATGTCCATTTCCCTAGGCAGATAATGCTGAAACCGTGATGTTTGCAGAAAGATGATTTATTTAGGGGCGCCTGGGTGGTTCCGTCGGTTAGGCATCAGACTGGCTCAGGTCATGATCTCATGGCTGATGAGTTTGAGCCCTGCATCTGGTTCTGTGCTGACAGCTCGGTGCCTGGAGCCTGCTTCAGATTCTGTGTCTCCCTTTCTCTCTGACCCTCCCCCTGGCTTGTTCTCTCTCTCTCTCTCTCTCTCTCTCCCCCTCTCTCTCCTCCCTCCCTCAAAAATAAACATTTAAAATAAAAAAAAATAAAGGTGATTTATTTAAAATAAATTTCTTTTTTAAAGTTATTTATTTTATTAAAAAATTTTTTAATGTTTTTTATGTATTTCTGAGAGAGAGAGAGAGAGAGAGAGAGAGAGACAGCGTAAGCAGGGGAGGGTCAGAGAGAGATGGAGATACATCTGAATCTGAAACAGGCTCCAGGCTCTGAGCTGGTAGTCAGCACATAGCCCGATGCAGGGCTCAAACCCACGAACCGTGAGATCATGACCTGAGTGGAAGTTGGACGCTTACCCGACTGAGCCACGAGGCGCCCCTTAAGTTACTTATTTTAAGAGAGGGAGCACACGCACATGAGCAGGGGAGACGCAGACAGAGAGAAGGAGAGAGAGAATCCTAAGCAGGCTTCCCACAGTCAGCACACAGAGCCAGATGTGCGGCTCAATCCCACAAACCTTGAGCTCATGACCTGAGCCAGAATCAAGAGTCAGATGCTTAACCGACTGAGCCACCCAGGTGTCCCTAAAATAAGTTTACTTTATAGTGAAGCTGTACATCCTGCATAGTCAGCTGTATTAGTTGGCTGGGATTAATATAACAAAATACGCACAAACTGAATATGCCTTAAACAGTAAAAATTTATTTTCTCGCAGCGTTAGAAGCTAGATGTCTGAGATCCAGGGGTCTGCACTGCTGGTTTCTTCTGAGGCTCTTCTTGGCTTATTGACAGTCACCTTCTTGTTCACATGGTGTTCCCCCTGTCCTAATCTCCTCTTCTTTTTTTTTTTTTAAGTTTATTTATTTATTTCGAGAGAGAAAGAGAGAAATTGCGCGCGTGCGCGAGGGGCAGAGAGACTCCCAAGCAGGCTCTGCACTGTTAGGGCAGAACTCGAACCCACAAACTGCAAGATCATGCCCTGAGCCAAAACCAAGAGTTGGGCACCTAACCGACTTAGCCACCCACCCAGGTGCCCCCTCATTTCCTTTTCTTATACAGACACCAGTCAGTATCGCATTCGGGGGTCCACCTTAATACATTCATTTCAACGTAATTACCTCTTTAAAGAGCCTCTTTCCAAATACAGTCACATTCTGAGGTGTTAGGGGCTAAGAATTCAACATAAGAAATTTGGGAGGGCACATTTCAGCCTGTAACACGGAGTTTGTCTTCTCCCTTCCCTCCCTTCCTGTGTATATTGAGCACCTACTGTGTGCCAGACATTCTGCTAAATGGTGGGAATAGTAAGCAACAGATGTAGTCTTTGCCTACAGTCATGTGGGGAAGACAGATATAAAGTAATAATAAGTGTCATGCAAATGTTATGCCTCGGTAATGGGGCTTACAGGAAAGCCCAGCCCTTAGCCTCAGGCCCCAGGCCAGGTCGGGCGGGTGAAAGGGCCAAGTTAAAACTCGCTGTGAGATTAATGAGTCAGCAGCTCAACCCAGAGACACCGGCTTTGTCACAAAGCAGCAGAGAGGTCTGACGTCAGCCAGCAGCGGGCGCCTCCTGAGTCCGTCCTTTAGCCTGACGCCTGGGCCCCGCCCACTCCCTCCCCGCCTCCTTCTCCTTCCTGCTCGTGACTCCCTCCCCCGCGGGTTTCTGCGAACTACCGCGAACGCTTCAAACGCGCGTCACCCTCCGCCCTTAACAATGAGCGGGGGGTGGTGTCAGTCGGCCAGGCCTGCGCTGTAGGGCTGGGGAGGGGGGGGGGGGCGGGCCAGCCGGCGTTGGTAGGCGGGGAACAGCGACGCAAGCCGTCGCGACGCCATTTGCTGCAGCCGAGTGTGGGCGCAGGCGGATCTCGGAAGAACTCGGTTTCGAGACTCTCCCGCGCACGCGACCCGGCCACGCTTGCCTGCTTGGTACAGCGCGGTCCCACGCGTCGCCCTTGGGGCCCTTCGGAAGAGTCGCCGCCGCCACCTCCGCCGCCGCCCCCACCACCACCACCCGAATAGGAGTCGGAAACGCCGGGAGGCCGCCGTCACAGCCATGCCCAAGAATAAAGGTAATGCCGCCCTGGACCCCGGGACCACGACTCCGCTCGACCCGGTTCTCCGGTCCTGCCCGCGCCGCTCCGCCGTGCCCAGGCCGCAGTGACCTTACTCTGCTCGCTGCCTGCACGCGGCTGGACGACCCAGACGCGGACTGGGGCTTGAGAGGGGAGCCGAGAAGTTGCCCCCGTGCACCAGTTTGGTCACATTGGGGTGGAGCCGACGCCATTTTTGTAGGGCCTCCTGCGGGGGAATGTGGGCTTTTGCTCCCGATTCGCGCCAGACTGACCGCGGCGCTTCACGGACCTGTGAGAAGACGTCTCCTGGGCGGCCAGGGTTTCTCCGATGGGCGCCTTTGGCCTTCCTGGGCAGGGACACTTAAGCCCCGGAAGCAGTTCTTAACTTTGAAAGAGTATTGCCTGCTTTAGAGACCAGCTACTCCTGCATGGGTTTCTTCATGAATAGTTGAGTGTTGTTGACACTACTCCCTCTCCGTTTCTAAACAGTGAATGAAACCTTAATGCAGATTTACATATTTAGGGTTCATTTCTAGAGATTTGCTCTTCCCCATCCCTTTACAGGGTTTACCTTTTTTTTTTTTTTTTTAAAAAAAAAAAACCCCAGAACACTTCTTCCATATTTAACCAGGTTTTCTTGTTTTTGCTTCAGATGTTGTATATATTGTATCGGGAGTAAAGACCTTTACGTTTCCTCCATTCTGAGGCTAAACGTCCGCAAAATTATCGGTCTTGAAGTTTATTTGGAACTTCCAAAATGGAAGGCCTAACCTACCTAAAACCAGAAGAGGCCTAAAGAAATTATCCCTTTTAGACTTAAGGGAATTTCTGCCTTTTGAAGTATCTTTGTAATTTCTCCAAGGAAGTAGTGCCACGAGAAACAGGGAGATCATTGTATTTTCCTCAGGAGAGGAGCATACTACACAACCCGCGGGACGTTTTCTCTGGTTATTCATCCTTGAGACCCCTACCTGGACCCAGGCATACTTCTGTTCTCTTATTCTCCCTCACAACCGGCACCAGGGATTCTACCTCATTTCCTCTTCGTGACTGTGGCTACTCATTTTATCCCTTGGGGTATTTGCTTGCAGTTTGGAGCAGGATTTGGTGCAGTTCTTTCAAGGCACTCCACTGCCCTCAGAAATCTAGCTTGCAGGTCCTTTTTGTCGCTTTTTCCTGCTAATTGTTCTGGGAAAAATAGGGTTTTAAAAGTCATAGTTTTCTTGTAACCTGTCCAGTCTCTCATTTCCTCTTAGATGGTAATTGGATCACCTCGGTAAGTATCTTCTTCTGACTTTATTTCTAGTGAGACTTCCAATTTCCTCACTAGACTGCAAGCTCTAATAGGCAGTAATGGTATCTGTCTTAAATCACATTGAATTGCTAGCACTTGACACTTGGTAGATGCTCAATAAATATTTGTTGTATTAAGTCACCTTCCTTTTGTAGACTTCACTCTCAGGTGAATAATAATAGGTTCCGCGGGAACAGGACTTTTGCATTAAACTTCTACATTAAATCACGTGTAGTTCACTAGCCTCCTTTAAAGTTGTAGTCTCTTACATGGCAGTAGGATAGACGGGAGTGATCAGGGTATGGTTAATTTTGATAAATTGACAAACAATAAATAGATCATTCTGTATAAATAGTATTTGAAGCTTAAAACAAAAAATATAATAGATAATACAGTGAACACCCGGGAATCCATTATTGTGAACTTGAGAAGTTAAAACACAGAATCAGTTAAATCTCTTTGTGTCCCTCTTTCCAGTCCTCTTCCCCTGTCTTCTTGTTCTTTGGAGGTAACAACCATTCTGAATTTGGTGTTTATCATTCCAGTACGTGTACAACCAATCTGTTCCCTTAGAGGAACAGTGCTTTCCAAGACCCCTGGATTTTATGAGATGAGGTTTACTAATGTAGAAATAAATTCATGTTTTTTGCTTGTTTTTCTTTGTTGGAAAAGCCGGAAGTCCTGTGAATATAATTTTGGTGATGCTCTCACAAGGATATAAATTGCCATGAACTGTGTGTTGAATGTGTTTTAGACTGATTCTTACCAGCTTGTTTCCTCTACTATCCTGTAGATGCTTTTGGCTTACTACCTCAGGAAAAAGGGTATCCTTTGGTCCACTCTTGATGACCATTTGGGGTAAGGTGCTGCCACACTTTGAGGAAGTTACTACCTATAATTTTAAAATTGCCACTCCTTTGGGAAGGTATGGACTAGTTTTGACGGACTCATTCAAAGAATTGCCCAGCTTGGGTATATAACTCCGTAAACAAAGCCGTTAAGATCCTTGCCCTAAAGGAGCTTTCACTCTGTTTTGTCTGACTTGAATGATTAATGGCTTGAAGCAGAAGTTACTTTACTCTTCCGGGGAAATCAGTTTTGCTTTGCCTTAAGAATGCCTCACATACTGAACTCTAAGGAGTCTGAGTGGGTCAGGAAATTACAGAGGCCCACCTGACAATAGCACCAAGCATTATGAAACTGCCCTTAGAACTGATTAACTGCACTGGATTCTAGAAGTTCTGTGTCTCTCTCTGCAGTGGCCGGGTGCATATTCATTATTTTCTTTGGACTGTGAACCATTTGCTGCTTCCAGGTTCTACCCACGAGTTCTTTAATATCACTACCACTTACAGCCTTTCTCCCACCTTGTGAAAATGGCCACCGGTGTGGTTTAGTAGGTTCTGGAATGGGAACAAAACGCTATGGAGAGAGACCCTAATGTGAGGGCTAGGAACAAAAAGATTAGGTTTGAGTCTCTTCATCCATACACCCTGGAATATGTTAAAATTCTCAGGGGTTCAGTTAATGAAGTCCCTGATAAGCTGGGGATAAATATTATTTCATAGGGTGCTTGTGACAAGTAAATGGGTGGCTTTATCGTATAATGGTTAAGAGTATAGTTAAGTGGGGACACACTGCTCCCTTCAAATCCCAGATCTCTCACTTCATATCATATCGCCTTGGATGAGTCACTTAACCTTTCAGAGACTATTAATCTCTTGTGAAATAAAGACAAAATAGTACCTGTCTCACAGGCATAGGCTTGTTAGGGGTGAGTTACCAGGACAATGAGAAGTCTATCTACTTGGACTGAAGTATAAGATAGTGGAAGAGAAGTATTGAGAGGTCGACTGGTGTGTTTTATAGGTTGAGAGATTTATGTTCTTTAAAGTGATCATGTTACCACTAACAGAAATGGGGGCGTTGGTTAAGGACCAGGTTTGTAAAGAAAAAAAAAAATGAAAAGAAATTGAGTTTTGAATAAAATCTGGAGCTTGAGATGACAGCAGCCCATTCACTGGAGCCATTAGAAATATGAAACCAATGCTTAGTTGAAATAGCAGGCTGAGATATAAAATTATTAGCATAGAAGTGATAAATGTAAGAGAAAATTTAATTTCCTTAGAAAGTGAGTTAGCAGATGGTAGGACTTTGGAATTAATGAAGCTCCAGAGGAATAGGCATAATGTGGGGTGGGGGCTCATAAAGATCAAAAATAATGCAAGTGGCAGGGCGCCTGGGTGGCTCAGTTGGTTTAGCGGCTGACTCTTGATTTTGATCTCACGGTCCGTGGGTTTGAGCCCTGGGGAGCCTGCTTGGGACATTCTCTCTCTCTCTCTCTCTCTCTCTCTCTCTCAGTAAATAAACTTTAAAAAAAAAAAAATAGTGCAAGTGGCCCTCTAAGTCAGAAAAAAGAGAGTTGGGGAATGAGTAGTAGTATCATCCTTCAAAGTATGAAAACCAAGGGGAGGGAGAGAATTACGCTTTTTTTAAGGGTGTCAGTACATAGAAGAGTCTAGGATTCTAAATGGTAGAAGGAATGTGGAGGTATTTAGATCTTCTCTTCTAACTCCCTCATTTTACATAGTCTGTAACTGAGATCCTGAGAAGTTTCTTTGTGAAAGCTCCATTCATCCTTTGCTTCTCCCTCCCTCTACATCTGGTCATAATTCTCTTGTTTACATCTCGGAACTATTCCTCCTGTTTGTCTCTTTTATGGCTTGGCTAGGCCTGCTTCATGGTACATGTAAGGACAGTGGCCTTAGAGGATCATATATATACCTCTGCATTTGTTGAAGTATTTTTTAAATTTTTGAGTAGTAAATATATTCACAGTTCAGATTTCAAAATGTGAAAAGTGCAGTGTCTTTCCAGAACGTGTCCTTTTGCCAACAAGTTCTCCTCACAGGCAGTCATTGTTAACTTTTTTACATATGCCTTTCCAGAGGGTTTTTTATGTATACGTAAGCAAATATGAGTACTCATTTTTCTTTTTTTTTCTTTTTTGCGTTTTTATTTTTTTACACCAATGGTAGCTTTATATTCTTCACCTTGTGGTATTCATTTTTAAATTCATACTATGAAGAATTTTGAATATATACATATGTACAAAAGTATACTGGTATAAACAAACATTTAGGTACTTAACCCCCTGGCCCCAGGCACAATCAGTTCACAACTAAACTTGGACTAGCACCGTCCACACCAAATCAGGATCCAGATTTGGTCTACACATTGCCATTGGTTGATAATGTCTTTTAAATCTCTTAAAAAAAAATCTGTAAGTTCCCCATCCATCTGATCCCCCGCCCAATAATGTATCTAGTGAGAAAAACAAATTGTCTAGTACTGCCCCCACTGTCTAGATTTTGCTGATTTCATCCCTGTCTAAGAGAGAGAGAGTGCACTTGCTTGCCAGCAAGCAAGGGAGAGGGGAAAAGAAGAGAGAGAATCTAAAGCAGCCTTCATGTTCAGCACGATCCCTTGACCTTAGTGATGAAATTTGAAGTGGAGTTTGTAGCAAACGGCTAAGAAAGAATTCTTGAGACATCTTTGGTGCAAAAAAGTGATTTTATTAAAACACGGGGGACTGGACCCATGGGCAGAAAGAGCTGTGCTGGGAGTGTGAGGAATGACTGGTGATATACTTTTAAGTCTGGAGGGAGGGGGGATAGAGAGAAAATTCGTTTCTAAGGAATTTCTGTATGCTGAAAGCAGGGTCTTTTAGGACTCTGAAGATGGAGCTGTTGTCAAGATAAAATTGCTTTTAGTTTTTGTTTTTGTTTTTAACGTTTATTTATTTTTGAAAGAGACAGTGCGAGCGGGTAGGGGCAGAGAGAGGGAGACACAGAATCAGAAGCAGCCTCCAGGCTCTGAGCTGTCAGCACAGAGCCCGACGTGGGGCTTGAACCCATGAACTGAGATCATGACCTGAGCTGAAGTCAGACGCTCAACCCACTGAGTCACTCAGGCGCCCTGGATGCTTTTAGTTTTTAATATCCTGTAAATATTTATGGCATTAATTAAGGCAGCCATAAACTCCTTGCAGAGGGTTACACGCTGCAGGTCTCTGGTGTCTTTCAGTGGGCTATAAGCTGAAAGGGGATTTAATTTACATTTTTCTTGCCTTTGTTTCCCTCATCACTGGGATCATGACCTGAGCCAAAATCAAGAGTTGACGCTCAATTGATCCAGTCACCCAGATGCCCCTGTTTTTTGATGGACTTTGTTTTTTAGAGCAGTTTTCCGTTTGTAGAGAAATAAGCAGAAAGTAGAATTCTCCCATTCCTCCCAGCATGTTGTTAACTTGAGCCACTGTATTAGTAGGATCTGGGCCTTGGTTTCTCCCAACCTGCCCAGCCAACTCCATAGATGACATTAAGGTTCATTCTTTATGTTGTATATTGTGTATTTGGGCATGTGAATAGTGAAATGTATCTACCATTACACTATCACACAGAATCATAATTTCACTGCCCTGAAAATCCTCCGTGTTCACATATTAATCTGTTCTTTTCCTCCTCCCCAGCTCCTGGCAGCTACTGATTTGTTTGTTTGTTTGTTTGTTTATTTTTACTGTCTAAATAGTTTTGCCTTTTCCAAAATGCTACCTAGTTGGACTCATACAATTCAGCCTTTATAGATCCCTTTAACAGTTTGCGTTTAAGGTTCTTCTCATGTTTCTTTTTATTGCTGAATAACATTCCATTGTATAGATGTACCACAGTTTATCCATTCCCCTACTGAGGGACATCTTGGTTGCTTCCAAGTTTAGAAAGTAGTAACTTGCTTTTTTAACTTCAGCTACTTTGCTCAGTAAATCTTTGCTACTGCTAGAAGATAGAATTCAAATTCTGAAGGTAGCCAGAGTAGTTCTTCCTCCACCACAGCTCCCCTTCCAGGGGATGTAACTTTACCCTCTCACCCCCAGTCATCCTAATTGAACTCAGACCTTTCATGGGGAGGTCTGGTAAGGGGGTGGGCTATTAATTTATTTAGAAAGTTATCAGTAACTCGTTGTATCTCCCACCCTGGCCCTTGTGGGCCACTGTGGAAGGGGTTCATTGAGCAGTGTGCTCAACCAGGTGATCATTATGATCCAGGAACTTTGGTCATTGAATGCAGATGTCCTCAGGGATGTATATACTTTTATATAGTATCTGCTTTCAGTTTGTATTTTATGACAGAAATAACCCAAAAGGAATTTCCAAGACGAGTAGGGGAGTAATGCTATGTGTGTGTTTAATATGATTAGAGATTGTGAATTTAATATGGTGTAACTTTATTAGGTGAATTTTTAAATGTAAGTGATTTTTTAAAAGAGTGTTGTGAGTCATTTAGTTTCTTTCTTATTTTGCAAATAATTAACATCTTTTTCTTTCTTTAAAACCTTTAGGTAAAGGAGGTAAAAACAGACGCAGAGGTAAAAATGAGAATGAATCTGAAAAAAGAGAGCTGGTGTTTAAAGAAGATGGACAAGGTAAGCGTTTCTGTAAGTGAGGGTTTTTTTTTTTTTTTTAGTAATAATTTTTTTTAAAATAGGGAATTTTCGATTGCTAAACATAGAAGATACAACTTTGTAATGCTGAGCAATAAGGTCTTGTGTTCCGGTTTGTCTTCCATTTCTCAGTCCTCCCCCACCTCTCTAGAGCCTTTCTTTTGGTAATCAGTTTTTGGTACGCTCAGTGTGTGTTGATTGGTGGCATTTTTATAAACCTCTAGGTTTCATTGTTTTGCATGAACATTCATAAGTAAGAATGAATTGTACAGTTCAGAAAGAACTAAGCCTCGAAAGCTATAGTTAACAATTCCATGGTTTAGTAAACCCTTTTTTTTTTTTTTTTCCTTAAGTAGGCTCCATGCCCAGCGTGGGGTCCCAACGTGGAGCTTAAACACGCTTAACTGACTGAACCACCCAGTAAATGTTGCTACATAGTCTTTTCATTAGATAATGAATTTTTAAGGGATGAGTTAGAGGCCTTGGCCTCATTTCTCCAGTACTATTAGCATATAATTTCAAAAACTAGAATACAGTAAAACTAAACAGTTGACCTTTCCAAACTAAGATCCATAACACTAGTTTCCCATATTTTTGAGCAGCTTCTTTCTTCTTCTTCTTCTTTTTTTTTTTTAACGTATGTTTGTTTATTTTGAGAGAGAGGAGAAAGCACGAGCAGGGGAGGGGCAGAGAGAGGGAGAGAGAGAGAGAATCCCAAATAGGCTCACCTATGTTGTCATTGCAGAGCCCCAGGCAGGGCTCAAACTCATGAACCACGCATGAGATCATTACCTGAGCCAAAATCAATAGTCAGACGCTTAACTGACTGAGCCACCCAGGTGCCCCACAACCCCTGAGCAGTTTCAAAAGCTGCTTCAGAAGAGTTGCAGTATTGGTGCAATCAACTCCCTTAAGCCCTTCATGTGTGTGTATTTCCTGAACCATTTTAAAGGTAGTTGCAGACATCATGATACTTTTACCTTACGCTATATCATGTCTCTTTAGTTTATTCTCTTTCATAATCACAATAGAATTCTCACATTCAGATAACTTAGCATGAATACATATATATTTTTGAAGTCCAGTTATTCCAGTAATTTCCAACATATTTTAACAAAGAACTTTTTTTGATTGTCCTTTTATCGTAGAACTTTGGTGGATTTGTTCGTGGCTATGTGTATATATAAGCCACCAAAAATGAAACACGTATTGTGGTTAAAAGAACTTTCAGTTTCTTAGCCTTCCTCATTCTTCCCTCCATGAACAGTTGACTTTATTACGATCATCACTTTTTCACTTTGGAAGACATACTGCCTTTGAGTTGGCCTACCATGTTGAAACTCTAGGTTCGTTGTAGTCTGAGCAACTAACTTCAGCGTGTCAGCCCCACAGTTGAGCCTTTCAAAGTTAGGACTCAGTGTATTTACAAATCAGTGGATAGCCTGTTTGGCGTTCAGTCTTCTGTACAACTTGAGTAAGCTAAAGGTTCTGAGGTAATACCCGCCCTTGCCCCCCTAGTCAAGGCCCCTGTGCAAGCTAAAGCTAATCATCTCCTCAGTTTTCCGAGTGGCTTCCTGGGTATCCTTTTGGAAAGGTTTTGATTAAAAGTTTGGCATTTTGCCGGAGAATATCTTTCTGGGTTCACAAAAACTTTAGAATAATCCCTAATGATGAATGCTAATTTCACAAAGACATTACTAACACTTAAGCTACTTTTATGTGCCAAATATACCAAGAGTTATGTTGGGACTAGCTTCTAAAGGCTTTGAGGGAAAGGAGGTCCAAAATTGGGAGAGGATCCAAGTGTGAGAGATTGATGAGGTGTAATGTCCACTTTGGAGCACGCCACCTTGATCTCCAAAGTAAAGTATACAGTTACGGGGTGCCTGGCTGGCTCTGTCCAAAGAACCTGTGACTTTTTTTTTTTTTTTTTTTAAATGTTTGTTTATTTATTTTGAGAGAGAGAGAAACAGCATGAGCAGGGGCGGGTCAGAGAGAGAGGGAGACACAGTATCCGAAGCAGGCTCCAGGCTCTGAGCTGGCTGTCAGCACAGAACCCGACGCGGGGCTCAAACCCACGAACTGTGAGATCATGACCTGAGCCGAAGTCGGGCGCTTAAGCAACTGAGCCACCCAGGCGCCCCACGAACATGTGACTCTTAATCTTGGTCATGAGTTCGAGCCCCATGTGGGATGTAGAGATTACTTAAATACAACTTTAAAAAGTAAAGTATGGTTATGAAGATCATAGTCATTCTGCTTATTCAAAATCAGTAGATAATTAAAGCATTTCTGTTAGCAGAGACAGTTTGCTTTAGAAATGGCATTATGGAGTGTAGATTCTGGCTCTGCCATTGGCTTGGTGTTTATCACTCATTTGTATTTATTTTACCACACATTTATTCCTATCCAGTATACCTATGTTTTCAAGTCAATTTTATGTGGATTTTTAAGTTGCTGTCTTATGAAAAGTTTGACAGTATCTTGTACACTTTTCTTTTCTCTCCCCTAAGAATATGCTCAAGTAATCAAAATGTTGGGAAACGGACGATTAGAAGCGATGTGTTTTGATGGTGTAAAGAGGTTATGTCACATCAGAGGAAAATTGAGGAAAAAGGTAGGTGTGGAGATTTGTTTTACTTTAAAATTACGATTAAGGGGGGAAATAGGTCTATAGTTTTTATGGGTCAGGGACCTCATTTTTGTAAATTCCTCAAAGATTTCAGTAGAACAGTGATATAGTATGAAAAATCAAAACAGCAAGCTCAATGATGGTAACTTTATACAGATTCCACCTAAAGACTCATTTACGAGCAAATCAGAGAACTCTAGATGCTGGCGAGGATGTGGAGAAACGGGCACCCTCCTACACTGTTGGTGGGAATGTAAACTGGTATAGCCCCTCTGGAAAACAGTGTGGAGGTTCCTCAGGAAACTAACATTAGAACTACCCTATGACCCAGCAGTAGCACTGCTAGGAATTTACCCAAGGGATACAGAAATGCTGAGGCATAGGAGCACATGGACCCCAATGTTCATAGCAGCACTCTCCACAATAGCTAAAACATGGAAAGAGCCTAAGTGTCCATCAACAGATGACGGGATCAAGAAGATGTGGTTTATCTATACCATGGAATACTACGTGGCAATGAGAAAGAATGAAATCTGGCCATGTGTAGCAACATGGATGGACCTTGAGGGTGTTATGCTGAGCGAAATAAGTCAGGCAGAGAAGGACAAATATCCTATGTTTGCACATATAGGAGGATTAGGAGGAACTTGACGGAGGAACAAGGGGGAGAAGAAGGGCGGAAATGGTGGGGGAAAAGGAGAGAGGCAAACCATGAGAGACTCTTGAATGCTGACAAAAACTGAGGACTGATGGATGTGGGGGGGAGGGGGGATGGGCATGGAGGAGGGCACTTTGGGGATGAGCACTGAGTGTTATGTGGAAACTAATTTGACAATAAACTATTTGTAAAAAAAAAAAAAAAAAACCTCATTTACATCACCTCTGTTGTTCTGCCCAAAATGTTTAACCTGATCAACAAATCCAAATTAAGGGAGACTGTAAAACAAATGGCCAGACCCTTACTACAGTGTTAAGTGACTTTAAATGTTGGGGTGGGAGGGCGGGGGAAGGCATCAGCAGGGGGGCTGAAGGTGGGAACTATTCCAGTTGAATGGAGATTAAAGAGACCTAGCAGTTAAATGGGGTAGGTGGCCCATGTTTGGATTCTGGTTTGAGAGTGGGGGAAATCCTTGTAAAGCCTGTTGAGAAAATTTGAGTATGAGTTAAATTAAATGTTAATGGTAATACTAAATTTATGGGATTGTGATCCTGAATGCCTTGGAAAGTAATGATTCATTTCCCATCAGAGTGGGTGTTAAGGCCGATTTATTAATCCAGTTGGGTAAAAGTCCCTCTGATTCTGATCTTATGGGTTATTTTTTAATCCCTTTATAAACTTTAAGGTGGTTTTGCCAGCTTTGTGAATGTTGGTTGGTAGAAGGGAGGGCAGAAGAGAAAAAACACATTTCTAACTTTCTTTTCTCGCATATAATGGATAGATAACTAACCACTTAGAGTAATTCACTATTACAAATTACTAAATTTCTAATCATCATTCTTCTGGAATTAATAAACTCAGTTAAATAAGATCTTTTTTTTTTTTTTTTTTAACATCCCCCATTACAGGTTTGAAACCTTCTCAGCTGTTTACTATAGGTCCCCCCCCTCCCCCACCAATTCTAACTCTAGGTACTTCACCCACAGTTGAGTGAATAATATTTTATGGAAAGACTGACTAAATGTTGCTTTGATTCTTTACTTTTAAATGTAACATGCAGTGACTTTTCTTTCTTAGGTTTGGATAAATACCTCAGACATTATATTGGTTGGGCTCCGAGATTACCAGGTAAAAAATAATAATTTTTTCATTGTTCACTTGATTGAATTTGATGAGCTATTAATTCTTAGAACTTAAGTCATGACCGTTTTTGCCCAGTTCCACCCCATCATGCTATTCACTGTTGTGTCGACAAACATTTCTTAAGGGCTAGTTACGTTTTCAGTGTTGTGCTAGTACACTAGTCATCGTGGTGCCCAGATGGCCAGTCTGTGGAGTCCACATTTTCACTATGGAAAAAATAACAGGCAGTGTGAATTTTCCATCAAGCTATAAATGGTCCTTTTTCCTTTTTTAGATATTTAAAAAGTTCCCTTTTTTGGAATAAGTGATGTTACATAGTGGTGGTGGTGTTCTTGTTCTTATTTGTCAAAGTAAAAATGTAATTTTAGGGTGGACTCCACATGCCAGTTTTTCTTTCTTTTTTTTTAAAATATACATATTGAAATCAAAATCTGGAAACTGCTGCTGTAGTGTATACAGCTGAATGAGTCAAGCTCCCATCCCAGAAAATACTTATGGCGTGGTAGTGAAGAAAATAAGGCACACAAGTAATTACAGTACAAACCATGATATAAGTATGTGCTCTAAATGTGGATTAGCACTTAGGAGAGAAAATGGTAGTTGCCCTTCATGATCTCAACCTGGAGAGTATTCATTGTGGGTCGGTGCAGTCCGTTTGGTTTCCACTTGTTAGAACTCATCACCATGTATTTAATCACGTTTTCTTTTTTTTTTTTTTTTTTAATTTTTTAAAATTTATTTCTGAGAGAGAGAGAGAGACAACGTGAGCAGGGGAGGGTCAGAGGGAGAGGGAGACACAGAATCTGAAGCAGGCTCCAGGCTCTGAGCTACCTGTCAGCACAGAGCCTGACGTGGGGCTCGAACCCACGAACCGCGAGATCATGACCTGAGCCGAAGTCAGACACCCAACCGACTGAGCCACCCAGGCACCCCATATTTTAGTTTTCTTAAATATATATTCCAGAATAAAGAATTAAAATATTTATTATAAATCAGTGACTCTCAACCATGAGTGAATTCTTTTTTCCTCGGGGGACATTTGGCAGTATCTGGAGACCTTCCTTGTCGTTACAGCTGATGGGGGGAGACCAGGAGCGATGCTGACTAAGCATCCTGCATTGCACAGGACAGTCCCTACAACAAAAGAAATATCCAGCCTAAAGTATCAATAGTGCTGAGGTTGAAAAAGCCTGCTTTAATTAATACCATTTTTTTTACATATTTTTAATTTTGTTTTTTAATGTGTGTTTATTTTGAAAGAGAGAGAAAGCACGTGCATGTGCATGCGAGCAGGGAAGGGGTGGAAAGAGACTCCCAAACGGGCTACACACTGTTAGCACGGAACCTAATGTAGGGCTTGATCCCACGAACTGTGAGATCACAACCTGAACCAAAATCAAGAGACGCATAACCAACTGAGCCACCCAAAGCTTACCCCAGTTAATACCATTTAATGTCCATTTTCCTCTTTAAATCTTAAAATAACCCCAGAAATAGGAAGAATAATCAGTTCTTTGTTTGACAGATGAGAAAACCAAGGTTTGGAAAGATCCAACATTCTAACTATAAAATGACAGCCAAGGTCAACGTTTCTGATTCTTAATCTCCCATGAGCCACCTTCTCTGCCCCTGCCACTTCGGGGGAACCAGTAGAATCAGTGGCTTTTGGGAACTTGTTAGAAATGCAGTGTTTTGGACTTCACCCCAGGCCTCCTAAATCAGAATACACCTTTTAACAATTTCCCTCTGAGCTTCTATGCACATTACACACAGCTCAAGAAGTGCTGGTTTGAGGGGCGCCTGGGTGGCTTAGTCGGTTAAGCGTCCAACTTTCGCTTAGGTCATGATCTCGCGGTTCGTGGGTTCGAGCCCCGCGTCGGGCTCTGTACTGACTGCCAGCTCAGAGCCTGGAGCCTGTTTCAGCCTGTGACTCCCTCTCTCTCTGACCCTCCCCTGCTCACGCTGTCTCTCTCTCTCTCCTAGAAATAAATAAAAATATTTAAAAAAAAAAAAAAAGTGCTGGTTTGAATCACACTGCCTTTGCATCACTGATCATTTTTGTAGCCATTTGGACCTGCTTTTAGGTTCAAAGAACTTTTTGAAGTTGAGATAATAAACTTGAACACTTTTTTTTTTTTTTCCTTAAGGAAACTTTAACAGTCTTTTCAAATGGGGAAGTGTGAACATTCTAAGGCAGTAGTTGTCTGTGGTATATTTGCATCAGAAACACTTGAAGAGCTTTAGAAAATAGAAACTCATGAGCGTTGTTCCACATCTACTAATCTGTCTTCTGGAGATGTAAAATCTCCTCTGGAGATTCTAGTCTCTTCATATTGTAAGCAGCATTGATTCAAGGAAAGGTTTAATTACACTATTTAATCATCCTGTAAAAAGATTGGGTTGGCACAGTTCTGGATGTTTTTTAGAAGGTAGGAAAAAACTTTTTACAATTGTTTTAATACGTATTTAAAATTTTAATTCCAGTATAATTAATAATATGGTCATTCAGCAGTTCCATACATCATCCTGTGTTCCTCACAACAAATGCGCTGGGTAGGAGAAAACTTTGAAATGTGAAAGAGAGTTGGTAAAAATGTGAGATTTAATTTTTTATCCAGTTTGTAAGTAACTTATGAAATAATACTTTTGCATAATCAGTTCTAAAATTTACCTATCTCTTTCAGGATAATAAAGCTGATGTAATTTTAAAATACAATGCAGATGAAGCTAGAAGTTTGAAGGCTTATGGCGAGCTTCCAGAGCATGGTAATGTCAGAGTATGCTTGCTTATACTTCATAGTAGTATACTTTATGCTTTATAAACTCTGAACTTCTGCATAATACCAATGAAAAGAATAATTTTGTTACAGTATTTACTTCACAGTAACCTTCTCAAGAGATTGTTAGTGTTCATCTACTTTAAGTGTGAAGCAAGGATCGTAATTAGGTACTATTGACTTTTATAAAGTCATTTTTCAGTTCTTGCCCTAGTATCATAGGATCCCATAGGATTTTTAAAAACAACATTGTCACCACTAAAACGTTAAGCATTCTCATGTGAAAAACTTAAGTAAAACAAAAATAAGTCCCTCATAATCCCACCAAAGGTGAAGTACACTTTACATACTGTATTATAAGGCTACATTTTTCACTTGGTGTTTTTGTTTTGTTGTATATTCCTTTTCGTTTTCTTTCTGTTGCATATTATTAGAAAAACAATATAATTTTACCTAAGCATGAAAAGCCTGCTGAAATTACATGCTTGACATTTTCAATCTAGGAAATGCTAGTATGTCTGGGAATAGGACCAGCATGGCCTGGTTCATTTTCATTGCTTAGGGGTAATCACGATTTGACTAAGTTTTCTGATTGGTGAGTCTGTCTGGTGTTACCATTTGCTGTGACCTTTTTTTTTTTTTTTTGAAGCATAGTTGGAAATTGTAATGGCTTCAGAATTTGTGTGATTGGAGCCTGCCTTACTAAAAATACCTTTGTGAAGTAAATAGTCGGGACTATATCAAACTAAAAAGCTTTGCACAGCGAAGGAAACCAACAAAACAAAGAGGCAACCTATTGAATGGGAGAAGATGATTGCAAATGATGTATCTGATAAAGGGTTAATGTCCATAATACATAAAGAACTTCTACGACTTAACACCCAAACCACTCCCCAAATAATCCATTAAAAATGGATGGGGGCGGTGCCTGGGTTGCTTAGTCGGTTAAGCGTCCGACTTCGGCTCAGGTCATCATCTCACGGTTCATGGGTTCGAGCCCCGCGTCAGACTCTGTGCTGACGGCTAGCTCAGAGCCTGGAGCCTGTTTCAGATTCTGTATCTCCCTCTCTCTCTGACCCTCCCCTGTTCATGCTGTCTCTCTCAGAAATAAAAAAAAAAAAAAACATTAAAAATTAAAAAAAAAATGAACAGAGGACCTGAATAAACACTATTTCTTCAATATTTTTTTTTCTGAATAAACACTTAATATAGAAGATGTACAAATGGCCAGTAGACATGAAAGGGTGCTCAGCGTCACTTATCATCAGGGAAATGTAAATCAAAACCACAGTGAGATATCCCCTGATACTGGTCAGGGTGGCTAGTATCAAAAAGATGAAATAACAAGTGTTGGTGAGGGCCAGGGTAAACAAATGTTGGCAAAGATGTGGAGAAAAAGGAACTTTCGTGCATTGTTGGAATGTAAAAATCAAATTAACAAACGAGAGACAGACTCCTAAGTATAGAGAACAAGCTAATGGTTGCTGGGGGATTGGGGTGATAGGCAAAATAGGTGAAGAAGGTTAAGAAGTACAAACTTCTAGTTCTAAAGTAGATGAAAAGTAGCATAGGGAATGTAGTCAGTACTGTAATAACTTTGTGTCATGACAGATGGTAACGATGCATATCATGGTGAGCATACCGTAGTGTATATAATTGTCAAATCAACTATGTTCACTTGAAACTAATATATTTGTCAACTATACTTGAATTGGAAAGTTTTTTTTAAATGTTTATTTTGAGAAAGAGAAAGCAGGGGAGGGACAGAGAGAGGGAGAGAGAGAATCCAACAAAGGGCTTGAGCTCACGAACCATGAGATCATGCATGACCTGAGCTGAAATCAAGAGTTGGATGCTTAATCGACTTAGCCACCCAGATGCCCCTGAGTTGGAATTTGTCTTTTTTAATGTTTATTTTAGAGAGAGAGAGGGGGAACAAACAGGGGAGGGGAAGAGAGAAAAGGAGAGAGAATCCCAAGCAAGCTCTGCACTGTGAACATGGAGCCCTGTGTGGGCTCAATCTCACAAACCATGACAACATGACTTGAGCCCAAATCAAGAGCCAGACGCTTAACCAGCTGCGCCACCCAGGTGCCCCCTGAATTAAAAATACCTTTGTAGGGGTGCCTAGGTGGCTCAGTTGCTTGAGTATCCAACTCTTAATCTTGGCTTAAGTCTTGATCTCACAGGTGTGAGTTCAAGCTCTGCATTGGGTTCTGTGCTGGGCATAAAGCCTACTTTTTAAAAAACATCTCCACAAACAAAAGTATAACTCATATTTTCCATCTTGGCTAGCAGTGACCTTGAGATTTTGTTGTATAAAATTCTGTAGAGTAGGGCTGCTAGGTACAAGTTAGAAGGATCTTTTTTTTTCCTTTTAACTTTTTTTTTTTAATGTTTATTTTTGAGAGAGAGAGAGACAGACAGACAGACAGACAGAACGGAGGAGGGGCAGAGAGAGGGAGACACAATCTGAAGCAGGCTCCAGGCTCCAAGCTGTCAGCACAGAGCCAGATGCGCGGCTGGAACCCACAGACCGCGAGATCATGACCTAAGCCAAAGTCGGACACCAAACCGACTGAGCCACCCAGGTGCCCCAGGCGGATCTTTCTTACAGTGAAACTTATAATTTAGGTATGACTCATAAGAGTCTCTCTATAATTCAACAGACTACTTCTTTTAGTGGACAGCTACTCATTTTAATATCATCTTGGTTATATGAGTATATTTGTTGTTGATTCTTTAGCCAAAATCAATGAAACTGATACTTTTGGTCCTGGGGATGATGACGAAATTCAGTTTGATGACATTGGAGACGATGATGAAGACATTGATGATGTAAGTAGATGCACCTTACATTTTTCAACTTTTGTTTCTGAATTGTCTATAGAGATACCAGCTCTTTCTCCTATCTTTGTTTAATCTAAGAATGTTGAATACATTAGGATATATTTGAAGATTTGTCCATGAATTAAAATGCTCAGTATTATTTATCAGACAACCAGTCAAACTGTTTATACTTTAAGAATTCTTACAGTCTTTTTCACCATTTCTTCCAGAAAAGATCAGTATCTGCTTTGGCAATATGAATGCTAGGCATTGCAATCATAACTTGTTTGAGTGTCTAAAGAGGTAGCTATTATGAAATGTAGCAGACAGTTGTAAGAAATAAAATTCTTCTCATAGAAACATGCATTCTTAATTGAAATACTAGTATGTTAAAAGAAGAATCTTGTTTTAACAGCTTGATATGAAGGATTGGAATTATACCATATTTTAAAAATTTTTTTAAATGTTTTATTTATTTCTGAGAGAGAGAGGCAGCGTGAGCAGGGGAGGGTCAGAGAGAAAGGGAGACAAAGAATCCGAAGCAGGCTTCTGGCTCTGAGCTAGCTGTCAGCACAGAACCTGACGCAGGACTCGAACCCACGAACTGTGAGATCATGATCTGAGCCGAAGTCAGACGCTTAACCGACTGAGCCACCCAGGCGCCCCGGAATTATACCATATATTTAAAGTCTTGTTAAAATTGAGACCATTGTCATTCCACTATTTTTTCTGTTGGATATGCATTGTTGGCAAACTCTTAGTTTGGAGTTTGTGTATTGGAGGAAAATGTACTGTTTTGCAAACAGTAAAGCAGTAATGCTCACAAGAGTAAATGCCCTTTTGCTGTTACGGTATTAAAATGAAACATACTTAGTTTTTGCCAATATTAATAATTGGGGTGTTATTATAAGTTACTCTTAACTCCAGTTTGGGCTCCTTTAAACTCCCTAAAATAAAACTGTAGTTTAGAACCCACCTTTGTATATATAGATCTAGGGGCGCCTGGGTGGCTTAGTCGGTTAAGTGTCCGACTTTCGCTTAGGTCATGATCTCTCGGTTCCTGGGTTCGAGTCCCGTGTCGGGCTCTGTGCTGACTGCCAGCTCGGAGCCTGGAGTCTGTTTCAGTCTGTGACTCCCTCTTTCTCTGACCCTCCCCTGCTCATGCTGTCTCTCTCTCTCTCCTAGAAATAAATAAAACATTTAAAAAAATTCTTTTAAAAATATTAAATGTATATATAGATCTAAAAATAATTATGCTAATATTTGATTTGATTCAAAAATGATATTTTAGTATGCCTAGGGTGGTCGTTCCTAAGACTGCAACAGGATTACCAGAGCCTTTCACAGCTCCAAAGGCTGGCCTTGGGGAAATCTGAGTTAGGCATCGCAAGTGATACCTACTAGCAAGATTCAGTAATAAACATTTTCCTGTCATTGATTTATCACATATCTGTATCTTTTTTTTTTTTTTAATGTTTTTTTTATTTCTAGGAGAGAGAGAGACAGTGTGAGCAGGGGAGGGTCAGAGAGAGAGGGAGTCACAGACTGAAATATGCTCTAGGCTCTGAGCTGGCTGTCAGCACAGAGCCCGACGCGGGGCTCGAACTCACGAACCGCGTGATCATGACCTAAGCGAAAGTCGGACACTTAACCGACTAAGCCACCCAGGCGCCCCTGTATCTTTATTCATGCGTCAATCCATCTTATATTTTGATGCAACTTCAGACTATTATGAGTGCTCGTGGTGAATTAAAATTTGAATACGTATCTTCAGTGTGTGTTTCTGAATTTTTACATGATATATCATTCTATTTTTTAATGTATTTCCCTTTGGAGATCCTGAGCCAGAAAATTCTTGTGACTAAATTGTTAATGATAGTTTCAGAGTAGATGTAACGGTTATATTCTGTTAAAAAAACAACAACAACCAGGAATTGTGTTGTAAATTAAGGGGTGATCTAAACATTTTAGAGCTGGTGGTAGAAGACCTCTTTTGGAAGATTAACCCAACCAGAGAACAATTGGAATATAAAGCCACATACACAGGGGTATTAGGATGAGGATCTAGTAAACAGGGTTAAGACTTTCTAAGAAAAAAATTCCTGAATCTGTGCCAGTGATTCCTTGGAACTGGACTCTGTAGTCTGGCAGGGAAAGAGATGCTAAAGACAGTGGATACTAAAGAAATTGGAGTTGTCTTGAACCTTTTGCAAAGGCAAAGGTTGCCCTTTTTTAACACCTGAGAACCCTACTTTTCAAAGACATTTCTCCAGATGGTTTATAGGTATGCTAGCCTGCCTTCCTATAACTAGATTGAGAGGAGAATTTGGTAAGTGTCACACTTGTCTCTTTCTTAATGAAATAATATTCCTAGGGGTGTCTGGGTAGCTCAGTTAGTTAAGCATCCAGCTTCGGCTCAGGTCATGATCCCACAGTTCGTGTGTTCAAGCCCCACGTTGGGCTCCATGCTGACAGCTCAGAGCCTGGAGCCTGCTTCAGATTCTGAGTCTCTTTCTCTTCGCGAGTGTGCGCGCGCGCACACACACCCCCACACACCCCCACACTCGCGTGTGCTCTCTCTCTCTCAAAAGTAAACATTTTTATTTATTTTTTTTAAGATTTTTATTTATTTCTAGGAGAGAGACAGTGTGAGCAGGGGAGGGTCAGAGAGAGAGAGGGAGATACAGACTCTGAAATAGGCTCCAGGCTCTGAGCTGCCAGTCAGCACAGAGCCCGACGCGGGGCCCGAACCCACGAACCGCGAGATCATGACCTAAGTGAAAGTTGGATGCTTAACCGACTAAGCCACCCAGGTGCCCCTCAAAAGTAAACATTTAAAAAATAATAATACTCCTGCATGTCTGCTCCCACCCAGAAGAAAAATCTCTCATCACCAGTACAAAAGGGAAGAGACACTAAACTTTATTAAGAATATTTTGTATGGCAGCATTCTGAAGAAGGTTGTAAAGATTTACTGGCAACAGACTAATTAAGAAAAACCTGATGTATAGGGGCACCCGGGTGGCTCAGTCGGTTAAGCGTCTAACTTCAGCTCAGGTCATGATCTCACGGTTTGTGGGTTTGAGCCCTGCTTCAGGCTCTCTGCTGACAGCTAGCTTGGAGCCTGGAGCCTGTTTCGGATTCTGTGTCTCCCTCTCTCTCTGACCCTCCCCTGCTCACGCTGTCTCTCTCAGAAATAAGTAAAACATTTAAAAATTTTTTAAAAAAATAACCAAAAACCTGGTGTGGAGAATTTCTTCTTCAAAGATAGCCTTAGGGGATGCAGGCCTCCCTTCTATGGTAGACTGCTGGAATATAAGAATTCTTTCATTTGATCTGATGTTCTTTTCCCTTCCAGATCTAAATTGGATTCATCGTTTTACATTCCAGTTTCTTTGTGGATTGTTCCAACAATTTGGATTTTGGCTGTGACCTGTTAAAGAAGATTAAAATTTTCATTAGCATGAGTGCAATTTGTTAAAGCAGACTGATTTGTTTCTAAGGTATTTCTTTAAATCTGGTAATGCTGAATTCTCTTAAGTGAAATGTTAAGCCCCCTTTCTTCTTTTGATGTACTGGAGCTTATAGGTAAAAGACCACATATACTATTTTTTAAAAAGAGGAGAAAAATGTATTATTGCCTTTCCTACTTTGACCACTTCCAGTAAGTAAATGACTGTTCCAAATAAACCATTTACCGTACATTCATTATGGATCATGTTTAAGCCCTAACTTTGACTAGCCTTTTGACTGTACATTGACTCTCTGTATATTCCAGTTACTTAGATGTTCCCTGGAGATTTTGATACAACTTAAAAGAGGCAGAAATCTGCATTTGAAGTAAAAGAAAAAATGATTAGGTCTGTTTTTCATATTTAAGTAGTGTGTGGCTGTTTTTGTACTAATTTTGATAATCACTTACATTCTTTCAGAACCTTATTTTGCCATTAAACGTATCAATAAAAAAGCATTTACAAAATGCAGGTTTTAGAACCTGGGTTTTAATGGCAATTTTCAATTTGTAAGGTTAGTAGTTACAGGAATTAAACAGTAGGTGGCACCCAGTCATCTTAACATTGAAATATTTTCTAGCTGTCATTTTTTTTTCTTTCTACGCTTAGGAAATTTCCCAAACAAGAAAAGATTGTTTTGATCATATGCATGTATGTAGAAAATTTTTAAAGAACAAAACTATTGTTAAAAGTGTCATTTTATTTCAGAAGTCATATACATAGAAGCTGCAATTTTGAGTGCTTTGTAAACACTTAAAGTATATATAAATGAAATTTTAATTTCCTAACAACTGTATAATTAAGCCTTTTTCAAACCATCCCTAAACTGGTTAAAAAAAAAAAAAAAAAGAGGGAATAACAATTTACTGAGAAGATGGGTTCTCCTTTCTGGATAGAAGAGCTACAGCTAAGAAATATAATAAAGACAATGTCATGCTGCAGAGTATATTATACCCTTACTTTGTGTTTAGGATGTATTTTATTGTGTGTAAAGATTTGTTTTTCTTGAATATTATTGGGAATTTGGATTTTCTCTTATTTAGTGTTTTGTTCTCAACTGGACTAAGATGAAATTAAGGGCTGGGCTGTTTAGACTTCGGTAGCCACATTGAAATCTTCTGCAACTTCAGAAGAGATTCATCATTTAGGCTGTGAAACGCTTATTCTCCTGATCTCCAGAGATGTTTTCAATGATGAAAAGTTGTGCCAAGGGAAATAAACCTTCATGTGGCTTCAAAAAATAAGCACATCTTCTCCAGTCATACTTATTCTTAAGTGTGCAAACTCTGGAATCAAAATCTGAAGTACTATAAAACATTATTAAATCAAAGAACAGAAATAAGTGGATAGTTGCGATTCGTGATTCTTATTCTTTGGCGTTCCGAACATTTACCCAGATGGAATGTATCTGAGACCATGGGCTGGTTTTTTAATACTTGTAAGAAATTAGCCTTGAAGAATTGACTTAGTGATTCTCTTCCTCAAAATCTAAACTTCCAAAGATATTTAGACCTCTGTACAAAGAAGTGTTTTGCTAAATTTGTGGTATATATAGATCCTTCTTCTCTGTTATTTTACCAAGAATGTTGTAACTCTGCCTCTGTGGTAGTTCATGGTAGGGATGGTACAACTCACATATTAGTTTTTCTACTTACCTCCACTAGCAAATATGTTTTATCTAAAGTTTCTTAAAATTACAAATATGGCCCCCATTCATGTGTTTTTCAGTGATCTATTTTTTTCCTTGCCTAGGTAGTAACAGCTCAATTTAATGCCATTGCATCCTGGAAAAATCTCATAATCTCATACCATAATGATTATAAAATGGATGGTAAAGTTGTAGGTCATATGGTCATATGCAACACTACTTGGAAGAATTGTTTTACTAACTTGTCTTTAACGTGAAATTTTTATAGATTTACTGATTTATTTCAAATGAGGAATGGAAGTGGTCCTTAGTTTTTTTGTGGTGTTTGTATGTGTGTTGTCATGTTGAGTGTTTTTGTTTGTTTTTTGAGTTTTCGTTTTTGTTTTTTGGTTATACTCCTTGATTCCCATAACACAATGCTATAGGGTATGCCCTGAAAGAAAATAAAATGTTTGAAATCCAAGAATAATGATTCTTCCTGCTAAGAGGGTATTAGATATTAGGTATTACTAATGAATTTGATAGGCTTGCATTTTTCATGCAGTGTTGATTCTACTTCCAGTTAGAGCACAAATAAGTTGTAATACTAAAATGGCTCAATAACCAAACCAAGCATTTGTGTGAAAAAAGATTTGCCAAGATTTAATTGCTTGACTGTTGAATCTTTTTTGAGCATCCAGCCTCTTAAGAGGCCACCTCTTAAGGAGCCTATAAACTATGCATGATGAAAACTCTTGTATTTTATTAAGGAATGGCCATTGGTTTACTCACCACATCTACAGAATAATCATGGCTGTGAATATAGTTGGTTACAAAACTTGTGACTTGTAGTTTAACTTAATCTCATCTATCTTGTGTAAATATTAAATTATAGGATGGTGAATAACATCTTTAGTAGATAGAAACTGCTGTCAGTATTGACTTCAGAGCAACTGAGTAATCAAATAGGTAAAAGCATGTTTGAAATAAAACTATCTTGGTGGAGTTATACTTTATTTCTTTTGTTTACAGATTTTAAAATATCCAGTATTAACTATAGCTTTACAGTTAAAGTATCAGAATGAAAGTGAGGCTCTTTATGTTACCCATCATAATGATTAAAAAGATTTGTGTTGATAGGAGATGCTTAGATCTTTATCCTGCTTAGCAAGAAGTTTCATTTATAGTGTTTGGACTCCCATGAACTTTTACACATCACGTTGTGTTTCTGATTTACGTTAAACAGTCATTCTTTTTATCCTTGCTTATTTCTTCCTACTCAGAAAAGAACAAAATCTTAAGTCTCGCTACACATGCTTTAAGACATGAGCTTCTTAAGTACAGAATGAATGAACCAAGGAATTTGGAAAGTATTGAACTGGGTCCTCTTCCCCCCACCCCCTGCCAGGTACTTAGTAAGCAGTGTGATGGAAAGTGAAGAGCTTGGGCCTTGGGGTCTGGAGGCCTTTTCCACACACCCTCGACTTTACCCTTTACCTGCAGGTGACCATGAGCACCTTCTCTGACTTGTAGGCGTTTCAAGCTTCTCACCTGTAAGATGGGGATGATAAGAATAGTACCTACAGAATTGGTGGGAGGGTTGATTATGTGTCCATATGTGTGATGCACCTAGAGCAGTGTCTGCCACTTTTCACTTGGTATCCAGGACCATATAAGATCGGATATGCACATCTTTTTTATTTTATATTTGTCATTTCTTTCACCTGCAGTCTTTGGTTACTATAATAAAAGAAACTTGTTGAATATATATATATATATATATATATATATTCATTCATGTCAATACAATATTTAAAATAATGGTTGCCGTCATTTAATTCAGCATAAGAGTAACAGATAGGAAGTCTCTAAATTGCTTAAAGATGTTTTTGCAAAATACCAACTACTCCATATTTCTTTATTGAAAGTTTATAGCTCTTGATAGCTCTGGTCATATTTCATTCTTAGGTCTAATGAGTTCTTTTACTATGTAGATTCATGTCAGCTAGTTAGTACTGACTGATTAAAATGTTTACTTTCTGATCATTTGGAATAATGTAAAAAACATTGGACAGAAACTAATGCAATTAGAAAATAAAATATGAAATAACTTTCAGTAGTATGCAGTTGCTTCTTTTTGAACTGTTCGTGACTTTTTTTTTGTTTGTTTATTTATTTTGAGAGAGAAATCCCAAACAGATTCCACACTGTTTGTGCAGAGCCAGACTTGGGGTCTCTATTTCATGAACTGTGAGATCATGACCTGAGTGGAAATCAAGAGTAGGATTCTTTTTTTTTTTTTTTCTTTTTTTACAAATAGTTTATTGTCAAATTAGTTTCCACATAACACTCAGTGCTCATCCCCACAGGTGTCCTCCTCCATGCAAGAGTAGGATTCTTAACTGACTGAGCCATCCAGGCACCCCGTTTATGACTTTTTTTCTTTAAGGAAATTCTATTTTTAAAAAAAATTTCATGTTTCTTTTTTGAGAGAGCAAATGAGCGCATGAGCGGGGAAGGGGCAGAGAGAGCGGAAGACAAATGATCTGAAGCAGGCTTCAGGCTCTGAGCTGTCAGCACAGAACCCAGTGTGGGGCTCGAGCTCACAAACAGATCATGACCCAACCTGAAGTCAGAGTCACCTCTATGAATTTTTCTAAACTATTTAAAGTTACGTTCATGAAGATTCTTTTCTGAAAACCAACTGTAATGTATACTTTGTATTTTATTTTCCTGTTATTGGTTTGATTTAATACATTCAGACTACAAATATGGGGTTGCATTTTGTGAGTTACAAACCTGTGCAAAAGATGTTTTCAAAAGGTAGATAGATCAGTCATCCAGAATGACCTCAAATTGCCAAAATCACGTTTACCAGATTGGACCTTATTTTGTGCTCTGCACAGACACCGGTGAAACACATCCTCTCTGGTGAACTTGCTCACTTTTTTTATTTCCCCAACCTGCTCACTTTTTAAAAACTGGTCTTTTCTGTTCTAATCCAGGCTTTGTCCAATTCACAACTTCATAATGGCAAATCAATAAGCGGGGACAAAATTTGACTAAAGTCCCATTGCTGATCCCCTGGAGTGTCAGGTATAGAAATAGTTGGATTTTTGCAAATTTAATGAAAAATCCGTGTATATTCATGACTTAAAATACCTTAGAAATCTAAGACTAATTGGAATTTTGTTAACTTGAAAAAATACAGAAACCCAGTCTTTTAAAAAGGCCAATTTTACTTAAGAGTGTCCCTGAGAGGCAATAAAAATTATTAATCTCATTAAATCCAGCCCTAGAGTACATGCCTTCTTGATAAATAGTGCATGTGACAAAGTAGTCACTGGTACATAAAGCACTTCATACTGTGAGTGAAGTCTAACAGTTATCTCAAGGAAAGATGCTTGTGTGATTCAGTTGTAAGCTTAATTGTCCACTGGTTTTCATGGAATGCTATTTTTACTTGAAAAAACAAGTGACAAACTGGCTATTGCAGCTTGTGTTTGTGGTTCACATTTCCTCATAAATGAATGAGATGAGGCTGTTGTCTCCAGGAAAACAACTGGCAGCATTTGTTGGTGTTGGTAAGATTCAAGCTTTCAAGCAAAAATTAAAAGAGTTTTGGAAAACTAGTATCAATAGCTTGGCAACTTCACAGTAGAGACTTAAGAGATTAGTGAATGCTGTTAATGAATGACTTTTTAATATTGTAGAATGAAATGTGTTGACGTTTGGAAGATCTTCATAGCTGAAGCAACCAATATCTTCTAAATGATGAGTAGATTTAATGTAATAGAACGGAAAGATCATTGATTCAGTGTTAGATTCCACATTGCAGCTAACCTTGAAGAAATTACCATTTGCCAAGATTGGGTAGTCACAAAGAACATACACAGTTATCTGAAGAGGCCATTAGAATGTTCCTCCCTTTCCCATCTGCATACCTACCTGGCCAGATTTTCTTTATACAAAAACCACATACTAGAATACATTGAATACAGAAGGAGATCTGAGACTACTATCAAGCCAAACTAATAGATTTGGAAAAATGTGAAACAATGCCTAACTCTAGTCAATAAGTTTTTTGTTTTACTTTTCATTAAAAGTATGTTATTTTAGGGGCGCCTGGGTGGCTTAGTCGGTTAAGCGTCCGACTTTCGCTTAGGTCATGATCTCGCGGTTCGTGGGTTCGAGCCCCGCGTCGGGCTCTGTGCTCACTGCCAGCTCAGAGCCTGGAGCCTGTTTCAGTCTGTGATTCCCTCTCTCCCTGACCCTCCCCTGCTCGCGCTGTCTCTCTCTCTGTCTCCTAGAAATAAATAAATTAAAAAAAAAAAAAAAAGTATGTTATTTTATATTAAAGCAATCAGTTTAGTGTTGAATTAATTTTTTTAAATTTCGGGGTGCCTGGGTGGCTCAGTTGGTTAAGCATCCAACTTCGGCTTGGATCATGATCTCACAGTTGGTGAGTTCGAGCCCTGCATCAGGCTCTCTGCTGACAGCTCAGAGCCAGGAGCCTGATTCAGATTCTTTCTCTCTCTGTCTCTCTCTCTCTCTGCCTCTCCCCCAATCACGATCTCTCTGTGTCTCAAAAATAAACATTAAATTGTTTTTAATTGTTTTAAATTTCTAGTATATTCATAGGTATAACCCACAAGTGAACCTGTCATTTCAAGGAAAACTGACAAGTGTTTGTTGCCAGTATTACATTTCTGCTATCAAGTAAGAAGAGTTTTGGAAAACGGGTGCCTGGCTGTCTCAGTCTGTAGAGCGTGCCACTCTTGATCTCAGGGTTGTGAGTTCAAATCCCAGGTTGAGTGTAGAGCTTTAAGTTTTGGAAAAAAGTTTTGGAGTATCTGTTTTAGGTGTAAGGGTAGGGGTTGGTGAACTTTTCTCTAGAGGACCAGATAGTACATATTTTGGGGTTCATAGACCATATGGTCCCTGTTAAACCTACTCAATTCTGCCATTGTAGTGCAAAAGCGGCTGTAGACAACACATAAATGAGTGTGTCTGTATTCCAATAAAACTTCAACAGAAATAGGTGGCAGGCCACATTTGACCCATACATGGGCTGTAGTTTGCCAACCTCTGCTCTAAGGGTTTCACACAAAAACTTTGAGAACTACTCTAGACTAGCAACTAGATGGTATAGTAGATTTTAAAACACCATTCAAGTATAATTAGGTTTTTAGGAAGTTAGTCTAATGTAAAAAGCCCAACAAACTGATTTTTTTTAACAAATGGCTTAAATAGAAAGACTGTGTTCATAGATATGACATGCTATACAAGTGCCAATTCTCCCACAAATTTATCTGATTTCCATATGATTCCAGTTAATATTCCATCATGATGGGAGGTTGTAGAAAAACTGATTCTAAGATAAGTTTATAAGGAAATTGTGAATTCTAAAAACCAGAAAGAGGACCTCTTTGTCAAACACTAAGTCACGCCATAATAACAGTTAACAAAAACATGAGAACAGAGAAGTCCGAACCAAGTCCATGTACATGTATATGTGAGATTTTGATAATACGATGGAAGTGGCTTTGAAGTCTTTGGGGAAAGGACAGATAATTTAATGGATGGTGCTGAGAAGCTATGCTTTACAGAGAAAAGTAAATAAGGATTCATATCACTGTAGGCAAAATTGCTTTAGAGGCCAATCTATAAAGTAATGGAGGAATGTATAGACTATATTGGGGCTCGGGAAGTATAAAACAACACCTCTTTGATCTTTATTATTTCTTTCTGCTAACTACATGATAGCTGTGGTTTGAGTTAATCCCTTTCCTCCTTGACTCCCATCTTAACTGGGGTTGAAGGGCTGCAACAAACATCCCACAATTTGGCCTTTTATAGCTGCCTTTAAAAAATACCTCAAAGTACAAGCCTTAAGGTGAAAAATTGATAGATTTTATTTTTTTAGCCATGGGAAAGGCTAGATTAAGAACTATTTATGGGTTCTAAATCTTGGGAAGTTTTGACAAAGAGTAGGGTATTTGCATGGCTTTATAGTGCCTCCCCACAGATGGCCTATTAGTTTCAAGAGAAAGATAGTACCTCTACAGTGGAGAAACTGGCAGTCAATTAAGTAAAATTATCTATGTTATATTTACTGAAGTTGATAACTGATGTGGTTGTATAAGAATCTTATTACACAATACACGTTGCAGGTTTAAGGGGTAAAAGGGCCATGCATATGTATGCAACCTTCAAAAACCGTAGAGGATGAAATGATATAAATAGCACAAATGATAAATGGAGTAAAATGTTAACTACAGGTGAATCTGAGTAAAGGGTATATATATATGAGTGTTCTTTGTAAACTCACAACTTTTCTCTAAGTTTGAGATCATTTCCATTTTAGAAGCTTTTTAAACGGATGGATTTTGGCATAACAAGATTTGCTAATCTTAGAAAAGGTTAACTGACTAGTGTGAATTTGCAACATTTAAACCAACAAGGAATTGTCTGGAATATGAGAAACTCCTGAAAATCAACAGGAAAAAGGACAGCCCAATAAAAAGACAAGGATTGAAAATGCAATTTAAGAAGAGTAAGCCAGAATGAATGAATGCTCTAGTTCTGATTTGTATACAGCTGCAATAGATAGATGTTGACAACAATTCCAAGCAAGGGAAAACAATGATAGCTGTTGTGCAAAGCATTTATATAAGTTAAAACCATGTATGTCTTTACAACACTATATGTTTGAAAAATAGAGCTACAAAAATAAAGAGGAGGTGTCTGTGACTAGAATGCAAGTGGGAATAGAAAGTAAAAATATACTAAAAACTAGGATGAGGTGCTACTCTGACATGTCAGTAAGGCAGGAGGTACACAAGAGTTGGGTGAATTACGAACTACCCAAGGTCTGTAAGAAATAAAGAGGAAAAAAGTGAAGATGTCTCCATGTCCTAATTAACTTGGCTTAATCTTACTTGAGTTAGAAACTATTCTCTTCAGGGGCGCCTGGGTGGCTCAGTCTGTTAAGCGTCCGACTTCGGCTCAGGTCATGATCTCACAGTTCGTGGGTTCAAGCCCCATGTCGGGCTGTGTGCTGACTGCCAGCTCAAAGCCTGGAGCCTGTCTTCGGATTCTGTGTCTTTCTCTCTGACCCTCCCCTGCTCACACTGTCTGTCTCTCAGAAATAAATAAAACATTAAAAAAACAAAACAAAACTATTCTCTTCACAGCTAGGGGACCAGCCCCCACTTGCCCACTTTCCTGCTCATTTGTGTCTAAAGCCCCCTTCTGCCTTTCTCACCACAGTCACACCCTACTCCCAGCTCACCTTTGGGAGTGTCACGAACAAGTTCATCGTGTTTTTGTGCCACAAGGGACTTTGAAGCTTTGCACTACAAATCCAGGTGTGGGTTCCTGAGAGTTTCAGCTTGGTGGGTTTTATGTTGTTTTTATTAATTTATTTTTATTTTACACAGAGGGTGGGAGTGAACAGGGGAGAGGGGCAGAGGGACAGAGAGAAAATCCTAAGCAGGCTCCACGCTCAGCACGGAGCCCTGTGCACGTCGGTCCCCCAACTCTGGAATCATGACCTGAGCTGAAATCAAGAGCTGGAGGGGGCTCAACTGACTGAGCCACCCAGGTGTCCCCCAAAATTGTATAATTTACATACTATAAAGTTCATCCATTTAAAATGTTTTTTTAAACATTGTTTTTAAATGTTTACGGTTTTCTTAGTATACTTGTGGAGCCAACCATCACGTAATCTAATTCTAGAATCTCTTAATCATCCCCCATAGAAACCCTGTACTCTTGCTCAGCTTCATTCGGTTTTTAATAATAGATGTCTCTCTCCCCCAGGGTTGGGAGTTAAAGCCTCAGAGGGCTGGTCACTGTCCAACAGAGAAACGCACAGCCTGGGGCCCCACTGAGACGGGTTATCACTTGGCAGCCATACCTGGGTAAACAACCCGGAAGCTTGAACTGGCGCTGTGCAGAGATACATTTTTCAATATGTATGTTTTTGAAAACTGAGAAATGTTCATGGCAAGGGAAAAAGGCTGTCCAGGAGAAGCCCATCACCACCGCCACACACCCTTCCCCGCCCTCTACTCCTGAGGCTGCCACACGTTTAACAGTTTGCCCTGTGTCTCCCCACAGAGGTCCTGCTCGGAGAGATTTTCAGCCCAGCGGAAAAGGAACCATAGAGCAGCCCTCTCGGTGGAATCCGCCAGGGAGTGAGGGCCTGGTTGGAAGGCTGAGGTCCCTAAGACTACATGCCCCTGTCCTGCCTTGAAGGTCCTGTTGTCCTTGGGTGGCCGCACGCCTTGGCTGGGGTCAGGGAGAATCTAGCGCCGGCCACCCGGGCATCGGGAGAACTGCAACCTAACTGGGCTTGACGGAGGGCCCACAGGGGTCTGGACAAGTGGCATCAGCCTGAGGACCTAGTCAAAAACGGTTTCCAGAGCTTCAGCGTTGAGTATGTGTGTGGATGCCTAGTGTCGGTCAACATATGCAGGCTGCGTGAGGACGTGTGTCCACTGTAAGAATATGCGCGTGCTGGGTGAGCACGTGTGTGCACGTGGTATGCGTGCGCTCTTTTCACACTTTGTGAGGACGCGTGCACTCCGAGAACTGCATCCTCCGTGTATAACGCTTTGGGTGTGCGCACTGTGTGGGGAGGTGTGTGCACGCTACATGTAAGCGGCGCCTGAGGACACGTACACACCGTGCGTACTTGCGCGCTGAGGGAGGACCGGTGTGCACGTCGAACGTGCGCGCGGTATGTGCGCGTGCTGTGAGAACTAGTGCGCACGTTGCTTGTGCATGCGGCGTGCCTGTGCCGTGCTGTGTGAGGGCCGGTGTGCCCCTCGCATGTGCACGCGGTGCGCGCGCGCGGCGTGAGAACCGGTGCGCACTTCGCCCATGCACGCCGTGTGCGCAAGCTGCGTGAGGAGAACGCGTGCGCGTGCGGGCGCGCGCGGGTCCAGTGCGGCGCGGCGGCTGGGGCAGTGCGCCTGTGCGGTCCGCGCGTCCCTATGGAGCGTGGCGGCGGCTGCGGGGCCGGCGCGGGGACCGAGGGGGCTGCGCGGGGATCCCCCCTCCCCGGGAGGCTGGCCGAGTCGGGCGCTGTGCGGACCTCGCCGCCCAACCACCGGCCTTCAGGTAGGGCCCTTGGGGTGCGGCGGACGCGTGGGGGCTTCAGGTCCCCCCCGGGGGCGGGGCGGACCCGCCGTGGGCCGCGCAGGGCAGCGGCTCTGGAGCGCGCGGGGCGGGGACGCAGCTCGATGCTGGGCTAAACGCCCTTCATCCGGTTCCCGGTCGGCTGGGTGCGGTATCCACGGCCGCGTCGCTCGCGGCGCCGGTGGCAGGATCCCCTCTCAGGTGGCCCGAGTGAGTGAGTGCACTTGGGGGTGGCTTAAGGTGGGTGGCATGTTTGATGTGGGAAGCCGGGGCCCACGCTGGATGCCCCAGGGGTCCCTGGTGGCCGGCCCTCCCTCGCGGAGCAGCCGGCGTGGGGGGCACCGGGGCAGGCCGCGCGGGCTCAGGGGGGTCGCCGGGGCCTGCGCGCCCGCCCACTCTGCGTCTTGGGAAATGCGCGCGAGCTGCAGCTGCAGCCGCAGCCCGCCGCGAAGGTGGCCGGCTTCAGGCTTCGCGGCATCCCGGGGACAGAACCCGTACGTCACCCACTGCCAGGGGGCGGACGGAGCGCGAGTCCCAGGCCGGGTTCCCCTGGCACCCGCAGGCCCTCCCACAGGCCTCGGGTGCGTTGCCCAGGGGTCCGGTGGGGCCGCAGGCCCCCTCAAGGGGCAGTGTGACCATTGCGGCTCCCAGCCTGCGATGCTGCAACTACTAGGAGCTATGGACGGCTGGTCCCCGCACTGGCTGCCCAGAAATGAGAGAAGAAGGGGGAGATTTTGAGGACATTTGGCAGAATTTTAGATAAGCGGGTCTCATGTCTTCTGACGCTCTGTGAAGTGGTTGCAGGTAGTGCGGGGGTGTAAGCATCGTGGAAACCGGTTTCATGCTGTTTTTCCTGAGACCACTTTTTTCTTAAGTTAATGTGACCGATTTTTAAAACATTTTTTTTTTTTTTTTACTGTAGTACAATATGTATACCACAAAAGCACACAGGTCTTAAGCATGTGATTAGAAGAATTATCACACAGTGAAGATCTGAGTATTTTATATGAGGTGAAACAAGGAAGGGAACGAAATCAAGGGAATTGTTCTTTAGTCACTTAAAACATGCTTTTCATGGCGGGTGGGAGATATTTTCTGATTGGGCCTTCATTTGCATCATTCATAGAAGAAGGTGGTGGCTTAAATCTTCCTTAATTTGCGTCTTTCTTTTTTTTTTTTTTTAATGTTTTATTTATTTCCAGGAGAGAGAGAGAGAGAGGCAGCGTGAGCAGGGGAGGGTCAGAGAGAGAGGGAGTCACAGACTGAAACAGGCTCCAGGCTCTGAGCTGGCAGTCAGCACAGAGCCCGACGCGGGGCTCGAACCCGCGAACCGCGAGATCATGACCTGAGCGAAAGTCGGACGCTCAACCGACTAAGCCACCCAGGCGCCCCAATTTGCGTCTTTCTTTTTAAAAAACTTTTTTTTTAATCTTTATTTCATTTTGAGAGAGAGAGACACAGAGAGTGAGTGGGGGAGGGGCAGAGAGAGAGGGAGACAGAATCTGAAGCAGGCTCCGGGCTCTGAGCTGTCAGCACAGAGCCAGACACGGAGCTTCAACCCACCTATTGTGAGATCATGACTGTGAGATCATGACCTGAGCGGAAGTTGGATGCATAACAGACTGAGCCACCCAGGCGCCCCTAATTTGCGTTTTTCAACTTGCATTTCTTCAGGCAGAATTTAACAAATATCACAGGTTAGTGTCATAAATAATACTATAAATGTGTGTACTTCTGTTTTCATCCTTTTTTCTTAATTTGAGAAACTCAGATGTGTCTGCTAGGGAAGAACCCAGAACCCACCTACCCATCAGAATCAGGCTTGGGGAAGGGAGACCTAGTGGAAGAAAACATTGGAAAGATTGTTGAAGTTCACAGTTTAAATTGGGAATTTAAATAATAGGTTATTTCCATGTTTTAAAGGCACAAAGGTGCTGTATGGTTGTGCTGGCACTTTATCTATGGGATTTAATATATTTGAAGGAACTTAATAAGGGTATGTTTGTTAAGTTCTAGTAGGAAACTGTATTACAGAACTATTTAATGTACTCTCTGCTGATATTAAGGTTAGCTTAAAGCTGTTTCCTTTTATTTGGAGTTGGAACCATGGAAAAAGATGTGTGAAGGTTTAAAACGTTACACTTACATGTATTACGGTTGTTGTGGAAAAATTGTGGAGCGTTCCATTTAGGTGTCAGGTAGTACTATGGTTTGTTTTTTTGAAGGCTGGTGAGGCTAGGTGCTTAGAAAAATAATGACATCCTCAGAAAAACCTGAATTATGGAGGTTTTATTTTAATTCGTCCTAGATACTGATCATTCTTGGTTGCCCAGAGGCCTTATCATTTGGGATCCATTCCTAATGAGATTCAAGCTGCACATTTGGGGGATATGAGTTGCTGAGTGGTTTTCCTAGGAGCTGTTGTAGAAGGTGGCAAGGGATACCTCTGGTTGTTTCTTTCAACAGCAGGTTCTTCCAATATTGAAATCCTGTGCACGTTCCCATTATCCACCAGTGATGCTTTCGGGATGGAAATTACCAAATAAACGGTTCCTTCTAATGCTTGTGTTATATGTGCCATATAACTAACAGTGAGCAAGCGCCTGTTGCTTGGATCTGCCTAAAATGCCTTGAGCCAGCAGATAGAATCACTGCTTCATTGTCACACAGGTCCTGTTCTTCTCTCAGCCTGAGATTCCCCCCTTTTCTCTTTTCCCTTTCCAGGGTTCACTTTCTCTAGGTTCCTCTCCGTTAGAGTTAAGGAACTTCCTCTTGTCTGTACCTGCAGCATCTCTGTGAAGCACTCTTAACTCTGCCTGTGTTACTTTCACCTTCCAGTTCTTCTCAGCAGACGAGCCCACTGTAAGCTGGACCTTGTGCTGGTGGCTTCTGCCGTTGCTGAAGCTGAGGAGATGGAGTTCCAGAATGCCTGGGTGTGAATGCCACCCCTCCGCTTTCCTCAGGAAGGTTATTTGACATCTTGAGCTTCAGTTTTCTCACCTTTAAAATGGGCTTAATCACATCTCTATAGGGAGCGAGAAGCAGTGCTTTGAGGATGAAGGAGCTAGTATCTATAGAGCAGTGCCTGACTCACATAAATACTCGAGCTAGTTAGCAGTTATTTCCCATTATATCATTGCTTGAGAGCAAGGCCTGGGTCTAGGTTATAGATACTCTTTAAGTGCCACCTCGTACAGAGGGTGGCTGTGTGGTCATGCTTCCCCTTCTCAGAGTTTCTGCGTGCAGTAAGTCTGTAACCGGTGTTTAACAATTGTATTATGCCAGAAGCATCTACACTGGGTTGAGAGCTCAGTAAATTTTCATGAGTTGGACTAAACAAGTGTCTTGGTGGGTTTTGTGATAGTGGATTTTTTTTTTAAGATTTTATTTTTAGGTAATCTCTATACCCAGTGTGGGCCTTGAACTCATAACCCCGAGATCAAGAGTCACATGCTCTACTGACTAAGTCAGCAAGACGTCTCTGTGATAGTGGAATTACAAAGCATATTTCCCAAAGCCTGTTGAGTTTTCTGGTGCATTTGCTGGGTGAATATTGTTTATTGAGTTGACCTCATTTGCCCATTGTTCCTTAGTAAGGAGAGAATTGCTTTCAGGAAAAATGAGGTTTCCCATTGTCCTTCCATTTGCATGTCTTCCATTTCCTGCCCTAGATCAGGATAAAGTAGGGGTGCAAACTAGAAGTTCAGCAGAGCTTTCCCCAGGAGCCGAAGTAGGGTGGAGCTGAGTAGGAAAGGCAGAGAATAGGTTTCCAGGAAATCAGAATTCTTCATCCCTTCTCAAGTTGCATTTAAGATCACTCTTGAACACTTTAATCCTTTTTTAAGATTTTATTTTTACATGTCTTTACACCCAACATGGGGCTCAAACTCACAACCTCAAGATCAAGAGTTGCATGTTCCACTGACTTAGCCAACGAGGCACCCCAAACACTTCAATTCTAAAACTGGTTGGACCTAAGAAAAGCAAGTTGAGTTTGCCTGTGTATTAACATTTCAAGCCCCCTTGGCATTAGGAAGGACCGGTGGGTCAGGAGGGAGAGACACACAGTTGTACTTAGTCTGGGGCTTCTGGCCTTGCTTAATGATGGCACTATAGGACTTGGACTTGGCAGGACCTTCAGGGCAAATTGCTGAAAATCTACCTGATCATCAGTGTTTCTCTTTTGATGTCCCAACCCTGGTGATACAAGTGGTCAAAGTCTGTTGTTTCTCTTCCTAACCCTTCTTTCTCTCCAAGATTAAAGGATGTTTTTTTTTTTCTTATTCAGATTCCCCAACTTCTATAGCGGTTTGTATTTTAAAAGAACATCTCATCTTCTGTAGGAATTTTATGGATTGACTTATAAAACAAGGATTTGCAGAATTGATTTGAGCAGGTGAGAAATGGGGGTTTCTGAGGGATGATGATGCAGTCTGGTGGGCCTTGTTAGGAGGATTTAACAGGATATAATACAGAATGTACTCAGCATAGTAAACGCTCTCAGGATGATGCTGATGATGACACTGCCTGGTTTGGGGGGACTGTGTGCTGGATTGGCCCTGGCAGCAGTCTGAGGATTTGAAAACTTTCCCCAGCCTTCCCCTCCAGTCTCTTGTCAATGAGTTAAACCAGAAGAAGGAAGTGGCCCTGGTTGGGGATAGCTGCTCTTGGGGTACCGTGGCCTGGGAGAGATTGCCCACTGCCCACTTCACGTCTCAGGTAACCTCCTTCCAATGTGGAGTCTGTTGGCTCGGCACCTGAGGATCTGGGGCAGGCTAAGCTTCAGGATCCCCCTCATCCGCCTCTGAGGTCTGTCTGAATGAAGGCCCTAATCTCCTTTTCTGTCAGGAAGCATTTTTGGTTCCTTTTGGCTTAAGAAGTTTTACTCTTTTTAAAAGCCCTGTGATTAGCAGAGTTCAGGTTGTGGCTTAAGCCAAAGGGAGACAGGTGTGAGTGAGCTCCACCACTTTCAAGCAGTCATG